TCCCACTTGTTCAGATGATTCTTTGGGAATGAGATGAAGTTCTTGAGTAAATCTCCCATAGCTGGAGGGCTGAGGAAAAGGGGGATCAAAGATGATTGCTTAGGTAAAAACTCATAGCCAGACAAGCCCTACAGTGTATGTTTTATTTGAAGGTACATATTGGACTTTTGAAGTCTCATGTTGACTTTGACATGTAGTGCATCATTACTAGAGAACTGAGTCTTATTCTTAGACCAGAACACAGGGGATGCTTGGCTGGTGGGTGTGCAGTCACCCCAATGAATACCTGAACACCCCTGGCAGTGCTGAGCTTGCAGAGGGCTGCTGGCATGGGGTGTCTGGATGCAGGGCATGAAAGAAATGATGAGTGAAACATTTGGAGCAATCCCTGTTCATTTTTTCCCAGCACCTTGATCAAGGCAGAGATGCCTTACAGAACCTCTTCTGTATCATCCACCAACCAGTTGTGTGTTTAGGGATCCAACCCAGAGTGGTTTCTGGCTGATGGTCTGACCCATAACAAATTGGTTTATGATATGGCTTTCGTTTTGCATATGTTGACTCCACAGTAATAACTTGGATTTCGATGTATTTCTGTCAGGACTGGGAATATAGTAGTTGTGATGTTTAGAGTTTACAAGAAAAATAGGGTGTATCTAAGTATTTTTGTTTGATGGCTGCAACTGGGAAAACCAGATGTACTTTCAGGAACACAAGCTCTTCTTCAGGTTGTTCAGTTGGTATGTCTGTTGATGGTGGAGCATGCTTAAGGGTGAGTTGCTGAAGCACTATCACAAAGCATGTGTAGCATTAAGTAAGCTTGATAGTTGATTTGATTGATTTGAACCTACACTGAGTATTTATTAAACAGAAGTACCAGAGAGGAAAAACAGCATGGATAAAGCATCATGTTAAATTCAAGCTTGTCTCAGAAGATAAATTGGACAAGCATCCCATCTTCAGACCATTTTAATGCTGAATGGAACATTTAATCTAATGTTACTTTGTCTTCTTTGTTTGATAGATCTTTTAATGATAAAAAGAAACGGGATTTTTTTTTTTAATTGCACAGCAGCTTAAAGACAAACTAACTAACGGCTTCGTACTGTTTGTCCCTCTCAACTTTCAGCTGAACAAAGAAAACAAGACTTTGAAAAGAATTAGTATGCTTTGTATGGCAAAACTGGGCCCAGATATTATTACTGAAGAGATTAACATTGATGAGGATGAATCGTCCACAGATTCAGAAGCTAACTCTGGATCATGCAGTTCTGTGCATTGTCAGCAGCAAATAAAAGGTGAGTGTTGTAGCTGATTCTGCACCACCATACAAGGCAGAAGTTGTATAAAGAATAGCTGTATTGGTTTGGACCAGAGATCCATCTGGTCATGCTTCTGAGAGTGGTCACAATCAAAAGATGTCCTGGAAAGACTGTAGAACATGGTAGGGAATGGTGTGATTCACACCATGCAGTGTATCTGAATTGGAAATAAGGCTCTGGAGTTCCTCCTGTCTGTATTGGAGAAATATGTCAAGAATACATTTAAAGAGAGCAAAGACTCTGGCTGCAGATCAGAGGAGAATGTGGTTAGGAGGCTGGCAGGGTCAAATTAGAGAAATACTTTAGAAAGGTTCTGATGTATCTGCTTAGTGTCTTGATTAAGAATTCATTGGAAAGAATGAAAAGTGGCGTGTTGAGAATCTTGGGAGTCTTTTAGCTTTCTCACCATTCAACAAAATATTGGATGTTTCTTGGAATGATTCCTTCCCTCCCACCACTTTTCTGCAAGGATATACAAATAAGGTAGTAAAGTCTGAGGCTCTTCATGGTATGTGGATATGCTTTCTTCTCTGGATGATGAGGTAAATATATATATATTTAGTAGAACCAGACAATGCAAGCACCATAAATTTCAATGAGACTTTTTTCCCTATTAATTTTGCTGAAAAGCACAAACCCATTGAAAAAACAATTTGATTCAAGAATCTTCTGGGAAAACAGGTCTTTTTTTTTTTTACTTTAGAAAGTGCATGCCTTTATTTTGTGGACTATAAATTTGACAGTCCTGAATTGGGAGGGGAGTGCTGGTGTAGAATTGACATTTTCAAGATGTAAGACCAAACAGAATGTCATCCAGGATGTCATCATCATCTGCAGCTGGTTAGCCACAATTTTCTCAGCTCGTGGCTGGTATGCCATGAACAGCAGTGCTATGAAATGCTGGAAGGAGGTGGGAAATGAGAGCACTTACTGAAAGCTAATATATATCAATAAATTTTGATTTTTGTGGTGGTTTTATGTTAACCTAAACCTTGATATATTATGTGTGCAAACTGATCTCCTGTTAAGAAGTTATTGCAATCAAATGTTTTATTCCATTGTGAATTTAATTTATTTCATATTTTAATAATTAAGGAACAGAAATTCTGAGGGGAAAATTACAAGCATTAGCTCTTCCATCAGTAAAGGTTATGTTCTTACTCTGTTCACATAATGTTACAAAGACTATAAATTAGCAGCTGTTCAGGACAATTTCTTCAGTGAAAACCTCCCAAGTATTAACTGCCTGTTGTTTTGTTTATTTCCCTTGTGGCAAGAACTCAGGATCCAAAAAGAATTGAAGTGCATTAATTTGGTTTAAAGGATGCCTCTTAAAAATTGCTTTCTGCTGTCTCCATGCCAAAGTCTCTGTGATACAACAGTCTCCTGAGTAGGACTGAGGACACTGTGTGGTGGCAGGAGTGGCCTCATTATGGCAGGAAATGAATCATTCAGAATGCAAATAAAGGCAGCAGTACTGAACAAGGCATCTTACCTCAACAGAGTAAATCTGAAACTGTGGCCTGGCTACAGATCTGTTACTTGACACTTATGCAAAGCTCATCAATTATTGAGGATGTACCTTGATTACAACCGATGCTTGATACGCAGTTCAGGTGTTCCATAATCAATTGTACTTGCATTGCTATGGCATTTCCTTTGTTGTTGTTTTTAGAAGAAAATATATTTTTTATTTCCTTCCCCAAACTGTAGAGCTGCGAGATCAAATCGTGTCTGTTCATGAGGAAAAGAAGACCTTAGCCATTGAACTGGAAAACCTGAGGTGCAAACTTGTAGAAGTAATTGAAGAAGTATGTATTGTACCATGGAAGGCGAGACCATGTTAGCCTGTAGTCAGTCCTTTTTGTGTCTAATTTTGCTAAAAACACTCAGTTGTGAAGTTAATTGAATACTATCTAATGGCAAGCCCTGCCAGCCTTCCCCTGTGGTGGATCACTTGGGGCATATGCCGAGAAGGGACGTTCTGTGTTAGAGTCCAGTCTGCCACTGTCTCTGGCACATGACTTATCCCTTCTACTGCCCATATTATAACTCTCACCTCCCCTTCCTGACAACTCCTCACCCATCACAGCCTGTGGAGTTTTTTTGGATTTCCTTTAACCTGTAGATGTGCAAGAAATACTTTTGTAGGACATGTCATTTAATCGCTGGTGCTACTTCATTGAGCATATCCTGAAGTTTAGCCATTGGCAGAGCCCTGTCATGGTAATTAGACCAGCAAATTATTATAACTCTCACCTCCCCTTCCTGACAACTCCTCACCCATCACAGCCTGTGGAGTTTTTTTGGATTTCCTTTAACCTGTAGATGTGCAAGAAATACTTTTGTAGGACATGTCATTTAATCGCTGGTGCTACTTCATTGAGCATATCCTGAAGTTTAGCCATTGGCAGAGCCCTGTCATGGTAATTAGACCAGCAAATTTT